AGTGAATGGATGGATGGATGGGTCGATGGATGGATGGGTGGGTGGATGGGTGGGTGGATGGATGGATGGGAGGATGGATGGATGGATGGGTGGATGGATGGATGGGTGGGTGGATGGATGGATGGGTGGGTGGATGGATGGATGGGAGGATGGATGGATGGATGGGTGGATGGATGGATGGGTGAGTGAATGGATGGGTGGGTGGATGGATGGGTGGGTGGATGGATGGGTGGGTGGATGGATGTATGGGTGGATGGATGGATAGGTGGGTGGATGGATGGATGTATGGGTGAATGGATGGATGGGAGGATGGATGGATGGGTGAATAGATGGATGGATGGGTGGATGGATGGATGGGTGGATGAACTGGTGGATAGATGGGTGGACTTGTGGATGGATGGCAGGGTAGGGTGGATGGACAGATGGATGGGTGGATGGATGATGGATGAATTTGGGGAACTGGTAGGTGGGTAGATAGATAATGGATGGATGGATTGATAGTAGTAGGTGGATGGATCTGTGGATGGATGGATGGGTGAATGGATGAATGGATGGTTGGGTGGATGAATTGGTAGATAGATGGATGGACTAGTGGATGGATAAATGTGGGATGGGTTGGTGGATTGGTGGGTGAATGGATGATGGATGGATGGATGGATGGATAGGTGGATGGATGATGGATGGATGGACGAAGGAGACCTTCTAGAGGAAGAAAGGCATTGAATCTGAATACAAGGAAAGAATTATGGATTCTTCAGTCTTATAGCCAGGGCCACTGAGGCTCAGAGAATTTGCATCATTTTGTCTCTTGCCCAGGGTCACAGGACAAGCAGAGTCCCATCCACCTGAAAGGATTCAGTTCTAAGCCAGCCTTTTGGGCAAAAAGTCACAAAGTCAAAATCCTTCCTGAGGCCATGCGTGGTGGCTCACACCTGTAATCCCAGCACTTTGGGAGGCCAAGGAGGGCGGATCACCTGAAGTAAGGCGTTCGAGACCAGCCTGGCCAACATGGTGAAACTCTGTCTCTACTAAAAACACAAAAACTAGCCGGGCGTGGTGGCAGGAGCCTGTAATCCTAGCTACTTGGGAGGCTGAGGCAGGAGAATTGTTTGAACCTGGGAGGTGGAGGTTGTAGTGAGCCAAGATCAACGCTTTCTGAAAATCTACACCCTTTGCTGTGACCAGGCCGGTTTCCCCACAGCACCAGAGCAGGTGCCTGGTTTCTCAACAGAGTCTCAGATGACAGAGTTGACATTCAGAGGCCTCATTGTACCAAAAATACATTAAAAACACATGTGAGCACTGGAATCCCACTCTGTGGGCTGAGATCCTCCTACCAGAGACTCAAGGGACCCAGTGCCACCTGTGACTCATGGCCCTGCTCACTGTGGGTCTCCCTGTGGGGGAACAGAAAGGACCAGACTGCCTGAGCCATAGAGATTTTCTCTCCTGTCCTGCTCTATCTCAGTCCATGCCTCTTTCTCTCTCCCTCTGCTGAGCTTATGTTACTAATATGTCACAGGCTGGGCGCAGCGGCTCACACCTGTAATCCCAGCACTTTGAGAGACCAAGGTGGGTAGATTTCTTGAGGTCAGGAGTTTGAGACCATCCTGGCCACACCCCATCTCTACCAAAAAAAAAAAAAAAAATTAGCCAGGTGTGGTGGCAGGTGCCTGTAATCCAGCTACTCGGGAGGCTGAGGCAGGAGAATTGCTTGACCTTGGGAGGCGGAGGTTGCAGTGAGCCAAGATCGTCACTGCACTCCAGCCTGGGCAACAGAGTCACAGATAAATGCAGCTCAACACAGCAGCAGTGAAGCAGGCAGACTGGGATTTCAAGATTTGAACCTGGGTCTACATGATTCCAAAGCCTGTGCTCTCCCCTGCCTCACTGAGCAATGCGCTTCTAGAATTTGAGCCTTCTAATATTGGCACAGGTGACAGATGGCACAAGTAGAAGGCAATTCTTTGCCACGTTGTTTGCCATAGCAAAAGATTGGAAGCTACCGGGGAGCCCAGTGAAAGGGTACTGATTAACTAAATGAGGGTGCGTCTGTTCAGTGCAGCCGCTGGAAAAACCCCACTGAGGCAGCTCCGTGTGTGCCCAGATGGAGTGGAGTTTATCTGGTGTGTCTGCTGTGCTGCTATTTACGAAAAACTTGAAGTGAGGTAAAAGAGGATTTCTGCATATTTTCGCACATATAAAACACGGAGGGCATGCAAGGAACAGGGACTCTGGTTACTTCCAGAGGAGAACAGGGTGCTGGGACGGGAGTGAGAAGGGCGGTTTTCTCTGTTGTCCTTGTGTACTTTTAAAATTACATAATATATAATATACTATATATACATACATGATATTTCTTTTTCTTTTTCTTTTTCTTTTTAGTGGCTACTCGCTCTGTCTCCCAGGCTAGAGCACAGAGGCGTGATCATAGCTCACTGTAGCCTCAAACTCCGGGGCTCAGTCGATCCTCCCACCTCAGACTCCCAAGTACTTGGGACCACAGGCACCTGACACCATGGCCAGCTAATTTTTGTACTTTTTTTTTTTTTTGGTGGAGACAGGGTCTTGCTATGTTGGCCAGGCTGGCCTCACACTCCCAGGCTCAAGCAATCCTCCCACCTTGACATATAAAGTATTTAAAACTGAATTGTAAACCAGGTGTGGTGACTTATGCTTGTAATCCCAGCTCTTTGAAAGGCCGAGGTAGTAGGATCACTTGAGCCAGTAGTTCAAGACCAGCCTGGACAACCTAGTGAGACTCTGTCTCTATAAAAAACAATAATAACAAATTAGCCAGGCACGGTGGTGCACACCTGTAGTCCCAGCTTCTCAGGAGGCTAAGAGGGGAGGATTGCTTGAGACCAGGAGTTTGAGACCAGCCTGAACAACATAATGGGACTCTGTTTCTACAAAAAGGTAGAAAAATTAGCCAGGTGTAGTGGTACAAGCCTGTAGTCCCAGCTACTCAGAAGGCTGAGGCAAGAGGACCACTGGAGCCTGGGAGGTCGGGGCTGCAGTGAGCTGCGATCACACCACGACACTCCAGCCTTGGCGACAGGTGAAACCCTGTCTCAAAAAAAAAAAAAAAAAAAAAAAAAAACTGCAAACTCATGTTTCTTGAGAATTTACTGTAAGCTGGGCACTGTCCTGAGGGCTGGCCACTTAAATCTTATAACCCCAGGAAGTAGACCCTACTCTATCCCCATTTCGCAGAGGAGAAAACTGAGGCCCAGAGAGGCACAGTCACTTGTCCAAGGGGTTCTAGTTAGGACTCGAGAATATTTCATGTTGCCAGGACCCTCCAGGCTTCTCTCCAGCCTCTCTCTCTGCCTTCTTTCGGGGGCTCTAGGATCCTCTCTCCTGCACCTCCCCACTTCGCTGGGTGTCAGTCAGAGCTTGGAGGGAAGGGCCGTACAAAGTCCAGCCTTGTGCTCACGGCAAACATGTTTATCTGATCCTAGAGCCAGGCAGCCCGGTGCCTCCCCTCCCCCACCTGCAGCCGTCACCCTCCCGTGCCTCTTCCCTCCATCCCTGCTCTCCCCCAAAGAGAATAGGGTCAGTCTTCCTCTAACCAGACCTCTCCTGGGCTCAAACCAAAGATTTACTGTCTGCCCCTGTCCATCTGTTTCTCTCTCTATCTCTCCCTCCCTCCTTCCCTCACTCTCTCCCTCTCCCCTAAACCAGATCAAATTTAAGCCGAACTTGAAAATAAAATAAAGGCCAGCCACCCTGCACAAATACATGCGCAATCCTTAGAAACAGAGGACAGGCTTTTGAATGTGAAAATGGACAGCCAGCTGTTACAATGAGCTTCTACGAATGTTCTACTTTTTAAACAGTTCCCAATAGAGTTGGGCAACAAATCCACAACAAAAAAGTGAACTTTCAGTGCCAGTTAGGACAGAGAGCCAAGAGGGCTCGTCTTTCTCTTTTCTGGGAGAAGCCACCTGCGCCACTTTTTTCTAGAACGTACTGAATCAATGTCTCTCTCCCCCCACTCCCAACCTTTCTATCACTCTCTCTCTTCTGTGTGTCTCTTTTTTTTTTTTTTTTTTGAGACGGAGTTTCACTCTTGTTAGCCAGGCTGGAGTGCAATGGCGCGATCTCGGCTCACCGCAACCTCCGCCTCCCGGGTTCAGGCAATTCTCCTGCCTCAGCCTCCCGAGTAGCTGGGATTACAGGCACGCACCACCATGCCCAGCTAATTTTTTGTAGCTTTAGTAGAGACGGGGTTTCACCATGTTGACCAGGATGGTCTCGATCTCTTGACCTCGTGATCCACCCACCTCAGCCTCCCAAAGTGCTGGGATTACAGGCTTGAGCCACCGCGCCCGGCCTTCTTCTGTGTGTCTCTTACACACACACAGAGTCTCCATGGGCCTGACTGTTTTTGAGGGCAGCTTCTTCAACTGTCCGGGCTCAGAACTAAGAGGCCAAGACCGGGCACGGTAACTCATGCCAGTCATCCCAGCACTTTGGGAGGCCGAGGCAGGTGGATCATATCAGGTCAGGAGTTGGAGACCAGCCTGGCCAACCTGGTGAAACCCCAGCTCTACTAAAAATACAAAAATTAGCTGGGCATGGTGTCGCATGCCCATGGTTCCAGCTACGCAGGAGGCTGAGGCAGGAGGATCACTTGAACCCGGGAGGTGGAGGTTGCAATGAGCCAAGATTATGCCACTATACTCCAGCTCCAGTGACAGAGTGAGACTCCATCTCAAAAAAAAAAAAAAGAAAGAAAGAAAAGAAATAAGAACTAAGAGGCCAAGTCTCCAGGCATCTCCTGCTTTGACTCTAATGGGTTTGAGAGTCAAACCACTGTGGGTTCCAGTCCCATCACTGCGACCTAGCCACATGCGCTCTTGCATGACCCACCTCTGCCCCGCACTGTGGGGTAAACACACCCCTACCTCACACTGCTACTGGGAAAATTAAATGAGCTTCACATAGGGAGGCTGAACGTAGGGCAGGGCCTGGCGTACAGCACGCGCTAAACTCACGGAACAATATTGTCATGATCATCATCTTAAAACAGCCCTGGAGACCCTTGGCCTCACACAGCAGAGTCGAGGAGAGGTGAAGACCCACCCACATCCTCCTCTCCTCCTACCCATTCCAGGGTCGATCAGACGTCCAAGGCTTTGAGCCTTTTGCCCTCTGGCCCCTTGGGTTTCAGGGCATGCAAGGTTGTGGTGTTCATCTCCACATCTGGAGAGGGAGCTGACTTCTCAGTGTGGGGGCTTTAGAGCTGGCCTTGATTCTTTGCTTAACCTCCGTGTGCCTCAGTTTCCTCATCTGTGAAATGGGGCTAATGATATTTCAGACTTCAGAGATGGCTGGGAGGAAGAAGTGAGCTTAGGGCATTTCTAAGCCTTTGGTGAGGGCCAAAGCACTGCATGGAAGTGAGTTGATGGTCAAGTTGAACAGCAGGAATGACTGGGGTCTCAAGATTGCAGTATGGAGCCTGAGGTAGGAGAACTTGGGACCAAGTCCTGGCCTTCCTTCAGTCCTTTGGAAGAGTTTCACTGGGTAAGGTACTGCCTCTCTGAACCTTAATCTGCTCATCTGTAAAATGGGATCACTAATAATAAGTGCTGTGTATTGCACTTACTACATGTGTACTCTACAAGTGCCATGCCATTTAACCCTGTGGACAAGGCTTATTGTCACCTCCACCCTGCAGATGAAACTGAGGCTCAGAAAAATAAAGTCCCCTGCCCAAGCTAGAAAGGGCAGAGCTGGGATTAGCGTGCAGGCGGGCTGGCTTTTGTCAAGGACATCAGATCCTCTGTCTTCCCTTGGCTACTGTCTTCCTGGGTCTCAGTGCCCAGGTGCTGCCTGATGGACAGGATCAGAGAGCTTCAAGGTTGCGGTTTGAAGGCCAGGTGTGGTGGCTCACACCTGTAATCTCATCACTTTGGGAGGCCAAGGCAGGTGGATCAACTGAGGTCGGGAGTTTGAGACCAGCCTGACCAACATAGTGAAGCCCCGTCTATACTAAAATACAAAAAAATCAGCCGGACATGGTGGGACGCGCCTGTAATCCCAGCTACTTGGGAGGTTGGGGCAGGAGAATCGCTTGAACCTTGGAGGTGGAGGTTGAAGTGAGCCGAGATTGCACCGTTGCACTCCAGCCTGGGTAACAAGAGGGGAACTCCATCTCAAAAAAAAAAAAAAAACAGGTTGGAGTTTGAGCTGATCGAAGACAGAAGGGACCTGGGAGGACACCCAGGAAGGAACCCAGGGTCCCAGGTTTCTCCCTTGGCCACGTCTCAGGCTGCTGAGCCCTGGCTAACAGGGCAACGGATGTCCTCAGGGCCTCAGAGAATCCTGGTCACTCATTCACTCCTGCGGTGCACCAGCCAGTGGGCTGGATGGAGGGTACACGTGGTGAATAAGGCAACACAGGTCTTGCCCTTGAAGAGCTTCTATTTTCACAGCAGGAGATGGAAAATGGATAAATCAGATGATGACAAGTCATGACAGGGAGCAAGAGAAAGAAAACAACAGCAGTGGAAGAGTGACTGGAGGCGGGGCCCCCTTTAGGATGGAGCAACCAGGGAGCTGCAGGAGAAGGAACCGGCCATGGGAAGATCTGGAAAGAGGTTCCAAGCAGGAGGAAGAGCATGTGCAAAGGCCCTGGGGTGGGAATTGGCTTGGGGTGCTGAGGAACAGCAAAGCCACAATGACTGCAGCAGAGTAAGCGAGGAAGAGAAAGACCTGGGCAGAGATCCGGGAATTTGGTGGGTGGAGGGAGGGGAATGAAACCAAGGCAGGGAGTTTAGATTTTATTCCTTGGCCAGGGAGGAAAACTGAGGGTAGAAGGAGAGAACAGACTTGCCCAAGGTCACGCAGGGAACTAAGGGGGAGATCTGAAGAATGAGCTCAGGTTCCTGCTGTAGCCACAAACATGGGGTACCCCAGGGAGGCCTGGCACCCAGGACCCACCCAGGCTTCTTCCCAGACACAGACTTCTCCCAGGAAACAGCTTCTACTAGACGTTCTGCTTCTGCACCGTCTTCCCAGCCTTAACCTCCCCGACGGCCCGGCCCTTCAACAGGGGCCCCCTGCCCCTCTCTCCCTGGCCCCTTCCCCAACCCTGAGGCTAGAGGCCCCACTTTTTTTTCACTCAGGGTGTTTTCTGATCCCTTTTGTTACCTGAACAATAAGTAACCCAGGTAGTTAGTTATAAACTCTGCAGGAACAAGGAGCTGGTTGATAATTTATAGCAACATCTCAAATTTAAATGGAAAGTAAATAGCATGCTGTTAGCATTAAAGAAAACCCAATCGGGGCAGCGGGAAGCACTCCAGCCTCCTTGCAAGCTTGGGGTGCCTCATTCTCTCCAGTGCCCCGTCTCCCAGCTGGGTCTGAGCCCCCGCCCCCCCAGCTCTTCAGTTCTGCTTCTCCCAGCTGCTCTCTCCATCTCCCCTGGTGGCCCCTCTCTTTCTCTCTCTACCGTATCTGCCTCAGCTTCCAGGTCTCTACTGGTCCCTAGGAAGCACTTTGACCTCTGCTTTCCCCTCAAATGCTGTGGATCAAGCCTCCCCCAACCCCACCATCCCCCCCACAAAGGGGGCTGCTGACTGAGAGGGCTCATCAGCCAGGTAAGAAAGCATCCCCCTCCCCCACCCTCACCCCAAAGCCCCCATTCCCATCTGGGGCCCCATGCAGGTCAGGCCCAGCCCCACCCCGTCCGGGTTGCCTTCGCCCTGGGTCTGGGATGCCTGACTCTTTGCTCCTCCCCTGCAGCTCTTGAGTCCTTTGCCCTCCTCTTCCTGCCAAGTCAGGGGGCCCTGGCTGCTCCCCTGCCCCCTGTCCCGGGGCCCTCGGGAGGCTCCCTGAGGCCTCTGGGAAGGCAGGAGTCTACCAGCCCTCCCCCACCCCAGCTGGGATCAGGACCTTGGACAGAAAAGAGATGGGCCCCTTTGGAGCACCTTTGGGGCTACTCTGTCTCTGACTCCCTGGCCACCTCCTGCAGGCCTCTGCCCCCTCCGCCCCCCGGTCATAGCAATTGACAGCACCAAACAGTAGCTGTGGGCCCTCAGTTGGGTGAACTTAGTCAAGCTCCGTCCCCACTCTGAGCCCCAGTTTCCGATTTGTGAAGCAGAGCCATCAGTAGCTTCTGCCCGGGGCTCCTCTCAACGAGAAGGGAAATCATTCCCGTGAAACCTCAGCACAGCGCCCAGGAAGTAGCGAACCTCCCCAAGAAGGCGCTGTAGGGTAGAGGTCAGGGAGCCCCTGCAGCCCCCAGGCCACCCTTCCTTCTCCCACACCCCGCCCCCCCGCCCGTACTAGGTGGGAGGTGGGTTGGCCCAGATCTTTCCAGGCCACCATTCCTACAAGTTAATGATCACAGACCTTATCAGAGCCTTTCACCATTTATAAATTTATAAAACAAAAGAGAAATAATAAAGCATGTGGGTAATTAGTAACTAGGTCAGCTCTGCTGAGGAGAGGGGCGGCATCGAGCTCAGGACCCACCCAGTTCTCCGGGAGACGGGGAGTCCACCAGCGGATGGGATGTGGAACGGGGAGCCTCTAATGGCGCCTGCTGGTGAGGTGGGGTGCCTGTGGCCACACAGGAAAGGGGACCAGCTCCCACCTCGAGGCTCTGTCTGCCTCAGGTAAGAAGGATCTGGGCTTCTCTGGCTGAATGCATGAGTCCCTGGGAAGCCAGGGAAACCCCCAAAACCCCAGCTTCGAGCCCTCTTCCCTGGCCGCGCTCCCTGGCCCTCAGAGCCTACCCTCTGAGGACTCAGGGCAGAAGTGAGGGTCTGGGGAGTGCAAATGATCATAGTGGCTAAAAATTTCCACCACCCCCCGGTCATCCAGGCATTTGATTTGGGAATTCACCCACCTTTTCTCCCGTCTTGGACCCCCGGGAAATGTCCCCCCTTCCCAAGGACTGGGCTGAAGTCTTGGCTCATGGGTTGTGGGACTCTGGAGAGGAGCAGCTCAGGGCTGGAGGCTCAAATGTCCAAGAGAGGACCCCGGGCTCTCAGGGGCCCTGTCCCCACTGCCGGCAACTAGGCTCAAGGCTGAAGCTCATGGGGACTCGACTCAGAAGTGGGGATGCCTAGGAGCCGAGGGGGCCCCTCTAGGCTGTCCCTGGGCGCTGGGACGGGAAAGGGCTGCTTACTGCAGAAGGGCCTCCACCACGGCTTTCTGGTGGGCTGCCTCCTCGGGGCTGAGGTTCTCCAGCTCTTTGAGGATGGGTGGCGTGAAGTCTTCCCCATCGTCGTCCGTCTCGTCCTCGGAACCCCGAGTCTCTCCCAGCCCATTGGGCAGCTCAGCCAGCTCCCCTCGACCACCGCCGCATGCCTCCCCCTTGTCCAGAGGGCCATCTCCAGCCAGCAGGTAGGGCCCCGGCTCACCCAGCGCCTGGATCAGTGCCTCTTTGCTCAGCCCTGACTCGAGCAGGGCCGCCAGGAGCTCCGTCTGCAGCTGGCTCAGTTTAGAGACCATGGCTCGGCTGCCCCGGGGCCACGCGGCCTGGGTCCACCACGCCAGCCACCTCCCCCACCGCGTGGGTTGAGTTTGCCTGCTGGCCGGTGGACACAAACCAAACACCTTGCACCCACTGCCCCCCCAAAATCCCACTAGCCAAGCCCTGTGGGCACCCCCAACCCCCAACCCTGGCCCCAGCGGCCAGTGAATCAGGGCCCCTGCCTGCTCTGTTTACATTGGAGCTGGGGAAATTCTCCAAGGTTCATATTTATCCGTGTGCTTAGCGAAGGGACTGAACTTTGGACTTCAGCCCTGCAAAGTGCAGGCCTCATGGCAGCAGAGAGGGGCAGGGAGCTATGGCCTTCCATGGGAGTGGGCAGAGGGGAGGGCAGGGGCAGCGCAGGTGAGGGGCCCTGAGCAGCTGGGATGGAAGGTGCTGGGAGTGGGGGAGGCCATCAGGCGAGCAGCATTGGGTCGTACCCCCAAAAGAACCTTGTCAGGGCATCAGGCTGAGACAGGAGAGCAAAAAATGCTTGCTGCCGGCCAGGCGTGATGGCTCATGCCTGTAATCCCAGTACTTAGGGAGGCTGAGATGGGCGGATCACCTGAGGTTGGGAGTTTGAGACCAGCCTGGGCAACATAGTGAAACCCCATCTCTACTAAAAATACAAATTTGTCAGGCGTGGTGGCACACACCTCTGATCCCAGCTACTCAGGAGGCTGAGGCAGGAGAATCCCTTGAACCCAGGAGGTGGAGGTTGCAGTGAGCTGAGATCATGCCATTGTACTCCAGCCTGGGCAACGAGAGTGAAACTCCATCTCAAAAAAAAAAAAAAAATGCTTGCTGCTTAAGGAGAGCAGCCGCAGCAGGGAGCTGTAGGCAGACAGCTGGGCTAGCTCTTCTCAAGGGCAGAGGAAGCGCATGGCCATTTTGGGACCCTTCCACCCCACTCCCAGCCTGACAGCAGGCCTCCCTGTAGGAAAATATATGTTAAGACTGCCATGTGCCGAGAACAGTGTGGGGGTCTGTAAGCACGACTTCACTTCATTGTATTCTGCTACCAACTCTGAGTAGGTACCAGGATTATCCCCATTTTATAGGGGAGGAAATCGGGGCTCTGAGAGGTAAGCAACGTGTCCAAGGTCACACAGCCAGCAAGGAACAAGACTTGCAAGGTGAGACTGAGTTGAGGCGAGTGTGGCACTTGCCCTGGGTGCAAATTTACTTTGTATTTTTTGAGCTAGGTTCTCACTCTGTCACCCAGGCTGGAGTGCAGTGGCTCGACCATGGCTAACTGGAGCCTCGACTTCCCGGGTTTAGGTGATCCTCCCGCCTCAGTCATCCAAGTACCCAAGTACCGAAGCAGCTGGCGCTGCAGGCACAGACCATACACCCCCTTATTTTGTGTGTATGTTGTGTGTGTTTTGGGGTGTGTGTGTTTCAGATGGAGTCTCGCCCTGTCACTCAGGTTTGCAGTGCAGTGGAGTGATCTCGGCTCACTGCAACCTCTGCCTCCTAGGTTCGTGATTCTCCTGCCTCAGCCTCCCGAGTAGCTGAGGTTACAGGCGCGTGCCATCACACCCAGCTAATTTTTTGTACTCTTAGTAGATATGGGGTTCACCATGTTGGCCAGGCTGGTCTCAAACTCCTGACCTCAAGTGATTCACCTGCCTCAGCCTCCCAAAGTGCTGGGGTTACAGAAGTGAGCCACCGTGCCCAGCCTTGTGTGTCGATTTTTTCTGGAGATGTGGTTTTGCCATGCTGCCCAGGTTGGTCTCAAACTCCTGGGCTCAAGCCTCAGCCTCCCAAAGTGCTAGCATTACACGCGTGAGCCACCGTGCCTGGCAGCCCCAGGTGCAAATTTTAAAGGAGTGCCAAAAAACCCAGTTATCAAGGTAAATAACATTCTTATGCACTATATTTTTAAAATTAAAATTAATGCAAGACCCCAAAGAACTTAAAACAGATGTCTACACAAAAACTTGCACATGAATGCTTATAGCAGCATTATTCACAAGAGCCAAAAAATGGAAAAAGCATAAATGTTTATCACCTGATGAATGAATAAATAAAATATGGCACAACCATGCCATGGTACAGACACGTGTGTATATGTATACATCTTTTTTTTTCTTTTTCAACTGCAATAGAGAAAGATTTTTGTTGCTTTCTTGTGGTTTGAGATGGAGTCTCACTCTGTTGCCCAGGCTGGAGTGCAGTGGTGTAATCTTGGCTCACTGCAACCTCTGTTTCGCAAGTTTAAGCGATTCTCCTGCCTCAGCCTCCCAAGTATCTGGAACTACAGGTGTGTACCACCACGCCCAGCTAATTTTTGTGTTTTTGGTAGAGATAGGGTTTTACCATGTTGGCCAGGCTAGTCTTCAGCTCCTGACCTTAGGTGATGTGCCCACCCCAGGCTCCCCAGACTGCTGGGATTACAGGCATGAGCCACTGTGTCCAGCCGATGCAATGGCATATTATTTGGTCATATAAAGGAATGGCGTTCCCATACATACCAAGGCACGAGCCTTGAAAACATGATACTAAGTGAAAAAGCAGTCTCTAAAGACCACATCGCATCTGGGTCCATTTATATGAAAAGTCCAGAACAGGCAAATCCAGATAGACAGAAAGGCGATTCGTGGTTGTCAGAGCCTGGGTGGGAGACGGAATGGGGCTGGCTGCTCCGTGGGTGCTGGGGCTTCTCCAGGATCATGAAAATGTTCTGTAATTGATTGTGGTGATATCTCACAACTCTGTACTAAAATCCTCTGAATTGCACATTTTGAAAGGGCGAGTTTGATGGTATGTAAATCAATACAAACATTGTTTTCGCTTTATTGAGATATACTTACTGTATGATTTACCCATTTCATGTGTGTTTTCTGAGATTTGTTTTTATTTTTTATTTTTTCCATTTTTATTTATTTTTATTTTTTGAGACAGGATCTGGCTCTGTTGCCCGGGCTAGAATGCAATGGCATGATCTCAGCTCACTACAACTTCTGCCTCCTGGGCTCAAATCATCCTCCCACGTCAGCCTTCGAGTAGCTTGGACTACAGGTGTTCGTGACCACATCCAGCTCATTTTTTTTGTACGTCTGGTAGTAACAGAGTTTCACTATGTTTCCCAGGGTGGTCTCATACTCCTGGACTCAAGAAATCCTCCCACCTCAGCCTCCCAAAGTGCTGGAATTATGTAGGCATGAGCCACCCTGCCTAGCCTTAAAAAGTATTTTTAAACTAATGTAAAATAATCTGTGATAAAGAAAATAGACAGGACTTGCCCTCACCACCAGCCAGGTGTGGCTACCAAGCATTTGAAAGATGGTTTATGTCACTTGTTGAAATGATAATTTTAAAAAATATATTGAGTTAAATATTTAAATTAAGGAAATTTAGGCTGGACACAGTGGCTCACACCTGTAATCCCAGCACTTTTGGGAGGCTGAGGTGGGTGGATCAGGTAGGAGGTCAGGAGTTCGAGACCAGCCTGACCAATATGGTGAAACCCCATCTCTCCTAAAAATAAAAAATTAGCCTCAGGAGGTTGAGGCAGGAGAATCACTTGAACCCGAGAGGCAGAGATTGCAGTAAGCCAAGATCACACCACTGCACTCCATCCTGGGCAACACAGCGAGACATCATCTCAAAAGAAAAAAAAAAAATTAAAAGTTAACTTTTGGCTGGGCACGGTGCCTCACGCCTGTAATCCGAGCACTTTGGGAGGCCGAGGCAGGTGGATCATGAAGTCAGGAGTTCAAGATCAGCCTGGCCAAGATGGTGAAACCCCGTCTCTACTAAAAATACAAAAATTAGCCAGGCATAATGGTGGGTACCTGTAATCCCAGCTACTCAGGAGGCTGAGACAGAGAATTGCTTGGACCCAGGAGTTGGAGGTTGCCGTGAGCTGAGATTGCACCACTGCGCTCCAGCTGGGCGAGAGAGTGAGACTGTCTCAAAAAAAAAGTTAACATTTAGAATAATTTTAAATTAGATTTAATTAAAATTAAATTATATTATTTATATATATATGTTAATATAATGTTATATTTCATTTAAAATAATTTGGCTTAAATTAAAATTTTAAATATAAAAATAACTTTTTATTTTAAAAATTAAAGAACTCCTGGTCTCAAGCAATCCTTCCACTTCAGCATCCCAAGTAGCGGGGACTACAGGTATGCACCATCATGCCCAGCTTGCTCATTCATTCATTCATTCATTTATCTTTTTTGTTTGTTTGTTTTTTGAGACAGGGTCTCCTTCTGTTGCCCAGGCTGGAGTGCAGTGGCACAATCTTGGCAAACTGCAACCTATACCTCTGGGGCTCCCATGATCCTCCCACCTCAGCCTCTGCAGTAGCTGGGACTACAAGCGTGTGCCACCCGGCTGGCTAATTTTTGTATTTTTTGTAGAGATGAGGTTTTGTCATGTTGCCCAGGCTGGTCTCAAACTCCTGGGCTCAAGCAATCCTCCCACCTCAGCCTCCCAAACTATTGGGATTATAGACATGAACCATCTCACATAGCCGGTAATGTATTTCATTCTGAGAACCACTCTGAATTAGGAACTGCTATAATTCCCCTTCTCCAGGGAGGAAAGAGAGGCTCAGAGAGGTTACATGACTGCTCAGAGTCCCTCAGAGCTGGGCTTTAAGTCCCCCTGAGCCAGGCGGGCTGGCTGTGCAGGACAAGTTGGCAACCCTTGCCTTAAGCAGAGTGGTACCCTCTTTCATCCAGTGCGTTTTTTGTTTTTTTTTTTTTTGAGACAGTCTCTCTTTATTGCCCAGGCTGGAGTGCAGTCAGCTCACTGCAACCTCTGCCTCCTGGGTTCAAGAAATCCTCCTATCTCAGCCTCCTGAGTAGCTGTGACTATAGGCGCATGCCACCACACCCAGCTAATTTTGTATTTTTAGTAGAGATGGGGTTTCACCATGTTGGCCAGGCTGTTCTCGAACTCCTGACCTCATGTGATCTATCCTTCTCAACCTCCCAAAGTGCTGGGATTATAGGCATGAGCCACCACGCCCGGCCAAGTGCATTTTTTTGTAAACCCCCGTTCAAGTTGCTTTGAAGTTGGGCCGCTTACTGCTGGTGACAGCATTCTCAAGTACAGGCTAAAGGACAGGGAAGAGGCTGTGTGCTGTTC